GAGTAGGAATAGGGACTAGCTCCGTGAGAGTTGTCTGGCGATTCGTAGTGGAAAAGAGTTATGGATGTAACCGGGGTTTGACAACGCTAATCTATTCAATAGACTAACATGTAACTATCTTGTGAAGTAAAGAATACTAGTAAGAAAGTACAATTTGAGTTGACCACAACGAGAGTAATAATGAAATCCATCCATCCTTATATCCTCATTGCTTCCAGTCCTGCCATCACTGCCATCACGACTTTTCCGTTGCTTGGCCTGATGTCCTGATGGCTGCCATCAAAGGATTGCTGCCATCACATACTAGCGTCTGACGGTCGTCTTGGCGTGATGTCAATCACGTGATCCTCGCCCCGCGATGATCATTACCTTCTGGCGTGGACGTCCATAGGCCTTCAGCCATCTCGTCACTTGTCAAGGAGAGAATTCTTCTTGTTACTTGTAACAAGTAGACTCTATCTCCATTTCTCTATCAGTTTGGGCCTCTGGCCCTAGGCTCTCTTGTCTGTTTTCTTAAGTATTTACTACAATAGTATTACTGTCTAGCGGCATTTTATTACTAAGCTCTTTTCTTAGTAAGTAGCTAGATGGTCTGTGTGTTTTTGTTTTCGTGAGTGAGACGTGTTCAGATTAGCTACTTTACCAGCTTCTAGCTCTATAGCGCGTGGGCTGCACGAGTTGGCACTAGTTGTAATAGATTTCTTGGGATGGATTTGTATATATTTCGCTAAAATTACACCTATTATGAAAAAATCGAAGTTGGTGTTGAGCGCATCGTATTAATTGCTACTATACTTAAGCTATCTACTGTCTAGTCTGTAAGCTCCTCTATAAGACGGACAACGCGCTATAGACGCAGCCTATCGCTACCTAGTAGCCGTATTGCGTACGATAGTAGCTGCCAGTTCGAATAGGCCTATAGGTGCTCGTCCCAGCGCGTCCGCTTAAACTAGTCAGTACGGTTCTAAGCTAAGGCTTCTTCTGCTACTTACTATATAGCCCCGCGATCCTTACGCTCAATAGCGTCCCACTCGCATAATAGAGTCGCTAGCCGTTGCTAGTAGCGCTCTGCCTCTCTTTGCTCTACTATTCTTAGCTAGCTTCTATCCTGCTGCTGTAGCTGTGGCTGCTGCTGCTCCTGTACGATAAAGTAGCGGATATATCGCTTCTCGCGGAAAAAGGTCTGCACTTTCACAGACTTCCATAGCTAGGCAGCATGCTCAGCGTACGAAGGAGTTAAGATAGTTAACTAGCGGGTAAGGTAAATACTATGCTGCTGGTTTACGTGTTTCTGCATGCAGATGCGACTTGTGCTAATGAATCCACACGCTGTACTAGGCGCGCTACTACTACTACTGCTGCTGCTGCTCGTCGTACAGCAGCAGAGTAGCGGGTCTTCTGGCGTAGCTAGCTCAGCTAATAGTGCGCTATAAGGCTCTAGTAGAGGCACTTAGTCTGGCGATAGAAGAGAGAGGCTAGCGTACGCGCTAAGTAGCGCTCTTCTTTCTGCTATTGATAGCTTATGTTGGCGCTTGAGATGCTCGTCTACGCCACGAATAGCATAGCGATGCTCGCGGCAAATAAGAACGTGGTAGGTAGGTAGATAAGTAAGCATGGTAAGTAATAGATGTAGATGTAGATGTAGATGTAGATGTAGATGTAGATGTAGATGTAGATGTAGATGTAGATGTAGATATAGATATAGATATAGATAATATAGGTAGCTATCGTTACTTATTCTATCGCGTTTACGTTATATCGCGTTATGCGGCGTCGCGTCGCATTAGAGGTTAGGTATAAGAGAGTAAGTAGCTAATACGTATCTAGTAAGACACTAGTTAGGGGCTTTATAGGGGGCTTACTTGAGGGGGCTTACTTGAGGGGGCTTCTATGAACGCTTAGGCTACCGGGGGCTTAGTTGAGGGATTTCTATAAACATAGGTGGGGGGGGGGGACTAAGTTGAGAATAGTTGCTATTTATTTAGAGAACCCAACATCCATGTAAACAGTAAGGTGTCAGAATCGCTCGTCCGTCACCCTAGCACACCGCCAGAAAAAGCGAACTGAATAGGGCCGACTTCGGCTAGTAATCTAGGAGTCCCGGCTCTTTAAAGAAAGTAGAAATGTAGCCATCTATAAGTACCTAGGTAACTACAAGTAAGCCCTACCCACAACACAGGTCTATCCTCCATCTTCGCGCAAACAATCAATCTACCTTATCGTCAAACATGAAGCTAATTCTTCTAAGTCTTTTACCAGCGGCGTCGGCCTACACGTGGTTCACCAACGACGGATGGTCTAAGCCAGCTGATTTTAACAGCCAGGCATGCGCGTCAAACCCAAACACACGTTATTTCTGCGTACGTCAAAAGCACAAATGTGTCACAAGAATAAGACGCTGACAATCCTGTAGGGTACTCTAGCTGGGACTCGAGGTGAAAACCCGTACCCTAACGCCTTTCCTCGTGGACGCAATACTTGTACCCTCGCGGACACTCTAGGTAGGGGATGTAACTGGAAAGGAGCTACTGGCATTGTAAGTTGACGTTGAATTACATTTTACTATGATTATAAGCTAACCATACTTGCAAAGGTTGTTTGTGTAAGTTACTATGCTGTATATAAGGCAACTAGCTAGCGTTTTACTAACTGCACAATAGTGTTGAAGCAAAACAAGCAGAGCTCCCTGTGATGGCCTGAAGCCCAGTTAGTGAGCCCTCAATGATATCTCAGTCACATGCGCAAGCGCACGGTACTACGCGTCTGAAAGACGTTTAGGCTGAACCCCTAAACTTCGGCCGAAGGTTAACCCGAGCCGCTACTAGTTAACCTTCAGACCCTTAGTAGTCTATAATTCTCTTCTCTATCGAATACAATCATCAGTATGCCTGTGCGATAGCTCCCTGAGCGTAGCCCCTTACACTCCCTGACTAAATCTGCTATCATTAACGGCTAATGCATTATACTTTTACCTGCGGATTACATTAGTCTGATGAGATGTTGGTTTGATTTGATTAGATTAGTTAGTTGGTTGGTTGATTCCTACACGGTTTTAGCTACGAACCGCAGCTATGCCTGGTTGATAGGCTTGGTAGACAGCCGACGCGGTGCAGACCTTGATCCGCGCCGCCCCACTTCACTCTTGAAAGAGCCATCTGTCTCTAGAGGCCTACCGCATCTGGCTTCTAGCTACGACTATGCACATTTTGTCTCTAGAAGTAACGTGTTTGCCTATAATTATGTTCCTTAAATTGTCTTCCTGTGTATGCGCGGTACTTAAAGCCTTATATGTGTAGCGTTGTTTCAAGGCCGGTGGAGGCACGGTTGCCTCATGCTTTGCGACCGTAATACCTTCAGTCTCCCCCTAGCGTTCAGCTGTCGTATGTGCTAGCTTGCCCTCATGCCCCACGGCCTGCAAAGTATTCTCTAAACTCCAGTATTCTTCAGTGTTGTGATGCCGTCCATTAGATTCCTATGCAGCTGTGTTTTGTGGTGTGACCTGCCACTAGGCGCTGCAGCAGCAACATTTCGTCGTAACGCGGCCCTACAAGAGCAATGCTCCGCTCGTGCGTGCCGTCGAGCCTACTAAGCATAAGAGCTCCTAGGTGAATCTCCTCAGACCTTGTCAGGCGTGTTAAAGGGGCACTACTCCTTCAACACTAGGTAAGGCGACAGTAGACGAGGCTGTCTGATGATCTATAGATATGTTGTGGCACTAATAGTAGCATGCCGGGTGTCTGTGAGGTAATTCGTGCCAGAGGTGATGCTGTTCAGCGCGAGGGCTCGTCGATGCGATACGTTGCAGGCATTGTCCAATAGCAATAGGCTTACTAGGAAGCCCATTAGTGACTGTGTTGTGTATGTTGTGACCTATATGCTCAAAGGGGTATCTAGGCTCCGTCGTCGCGTCTTACATTGCTGTGTCGTGGCTAGGTAACTGCCGCTACATTTGATGGACGTGTCATATTAAGTAGCTTGCTCGCAGATTTTGTTCGTCTGTCTGCTAGGGCCGCAACAACTACTCTATAAATGCCAAACCGACGCGGGGGGACGCGTGATGGCCTGTAGAGACTATTGCGACCGCTGGTAGATGTTTTTGAGGCTATTGTGATGGGTGATTCCAAAAATGGATTTCTCACTATTTGTCGTGTTTTCTCTAGCTGTAGAAGCTTCTAGAAAGCCGTGCGCATACGCTACAGCTATTTCTAGCAAATGCCTGCTATAGGTATAGTGTTGAATTTGTTACAATACCGTACTGCAATATCTGAGCACGCTACTGCTGGCTAGCTGCATGTCAAGTGCTACTAATAGCGCACGTCCTGTAGGACGCGTTTTGACGATCTTGCGGTCTGCTCGGAGAAACTGCCGGAATATATACTTATTGCTCTAAATCGGCCTTCCAAAGCTGCAGTCTTAATCTTCGCTATTCTAGTGTGCTTTCTAGCCCACCGAGCTTCCCGCAAATAAGTACTCTCGTGAACGAACAGGGGGTATTAGAGGAGACTTAAGAGATAGCGTTAAGAAAACCAGCGACAGCACGGTCAACGACGCGCTTTTTCGAGTCGGTGGCTGATGTACTATAAGAGTAAGAGCTAGAGCATAGATGCACATTACGCTTGTCTATATATAAGCATGTTGTGGGATAGTCCGAGAGTCCGGAAGAGAAAGTGTCTCGTTACACCGTGCGTCCCGGCACGTAGGGACAGACGTTAATGCTTTTCTCTATATTGGTCACGAATATTGTATGTCATACATCTCTTAAAACACGTACAATTAAGGCGAGTTTTATCAAGGTGTCAGTGCTAACAGACATGCAGTCGTTGACACATACGGAGGATGCTTTCAAAAGTTATGGCCCCGCGCTAGACAGGGGTTCTCGATTACTGCCGAGATACCACCGAAAACTATCAATCTATGGAAGACTTCTGCTTGAAATATCTTCTGCCCTCTTGATACTCATTGCCGCCTTCTAACTGGATAGTTTGCTTAATATGTATTGGTATCCGCTCTATCCAAGTCTGGATTTGGTGTTGAGATAGCTCATCCCAGACTCGATACCATGACTTAGTTGCTTCTACCTTATTCTTTAGGGCTCTGTAACGATGTTACAACTTCGCCATGTATCGGACCAATCCCAGAGCCGGATCGGAGGTAGTACTCGCCGCCCTCTTCATCAACCACTCGTTGTGAGGTCGGATCCGATTCGGATCCGACTAAGATAAGTATATAAGGAGACACTCCCTGTAGCTAGCTCTGTAGACTTTTGATATCCTTTCGTACAAGGCCTATAGGTGTCTATTCGAATTAAGGCTCGTTTGATGTCCCACGCACTCCCATATGCCTCTGAGTGACACTACCGCCGATACTGATCCGAGTAGTCTTGCCTACGCCGTTACATTATATCAAAAGTCTCGTCCCAGCCGGTGACGGCTTCAAAACAATATCGCAGCTGTTTGTTGAAGACCACGTCAATCCCCCAAGATCCGGAGTCGACCCGGACTTCCACCGTTACGTCCCACATTCACCTAGGCAGGATCCCACTGATCTCCTGCCGGCCGAAGCCTTTGGGTTTGGAACTTCTGCGCTCCTCGCGAGGCAGATTACTTCGGTAAAAGTCGCGTAGAGTGCGCCACGCTAGAGACTCGGAGACTACCAATAACCCATCAACCTCAGAGGCAATCGCTGATGGTTAACCCACCAAAACCCGGTAGTTCTAAGGAACCACCTCGGAAATCGGTCCGACTCCAGGACCAAACCGTCTCGGAGAAGAAAGCTAGCAAGCTACCAACCCAGGAATCTCTAGAGACTTCATCCCCACGAGAAGAAGAAGAAGACGAAGACGAGGAGGATTCGGTACCAGTACTGACTATGAGAGACCTCCATAGGCAGATGGCCAGCTTAGTTAACTAAGTCCACCGACTGACCCAAGAAAACG